ATCTGTTGCACTTATTAAATTGAAAACCTTCCTGAAGTGTCATTTTACACTTTCATGAGTTTTTATTTGTACGCAAAATGTTTACTTAATTAAGAAGGCGTCGAGTTGTAACATATTTGCATGTTAATCTATGCGTACATATATTACATGTACGCATGAGTCAACATGCGTAAATTTTATATATATATATATATATATATATATATATATATATATATATATATATATATATATATATATATATATATATATATATATATATATATATTCACACATTTCTCAGTACAAAACGTTGAGAACCAATGCTACCGTAAATATTGCTGTGTAATGAACCCAGGATTTTTCATCCCTTGTTAATGAACTTATAGTCAGAGATTATAGCCAGTCACCATGTATAACCTCTGACTCCCATAACATAACCACACGTACACATAGGATAACATTTAATGACGAACATGTATTACTGAAACTGAAGATTAATGCTCCCTCCAACTTTGCATGTGAAACTAATTACTTTTATTGGCTACGGAGGAAACCAATTATATCCTGGGACTACCGATGTGCTAATAAAGCTAGTTATTGTGGTTTTCAAACTCCTCTCCTGAGAGATCTTCTGTTTACTTCTTAAACATGTAATGCTCATCGTGTTCCTTGTTCATTTGATGTTTTGATAACTACTAATTAATCTAAGGAGGGGCACTTTATTTAAATTAAATAATAGGAATGTAATATCGTAATAGAAATAACTCATCAACAAAACAAGGGCGTGTTCAAAGTCATTGAACTTAATAGCCTCCTACAATGAGATACAGGTATGAACATTGCTATGAAGGAAATTAAATTGAACACTTTTATTAATAAATTAATAGCAATTTAATAGCAATAGCAATTTAAATTAATAGCAGTAGCAAGGGGGGAAGCTAGTGCTAATTGGCCAGCGAATCACAGTATTGGCCCCTCCTACTTGGGCTTGGGATTGCCCTCAGGTGCACTCAATTGGGGCGCAGCTCTCACTCTGTTGAATATACACTGAAGTGCACTTGAAAAATTGGAATTTATGCAGATAGCGGCACTAATGATCCTGGTAGTCATTAGGTTTTATTGATCATGGCAGTCGATGATAAAATTGAGAGTTTTCCGGTGGAACTCAAACTGTAGCAGTCATAAATAAAGAAAGGAAAGGAATGGTTGTTGTAGCTAGGCAAGCACAGTTGAGTACACACACTTTCGGATTAAATAAAATCAATATAATTGGGAAAATGAAGGGTAAAGATGCTTGAACATTTTGGCAGAGAGATACTTCCTTAGAGCTTTCTCTTACACACATATTCTTTCTTTTCCAAGAATGTGTTGTTGCAAAGGCAAAGTTACCCACTCAGAATGCATGTACCTGGAAAAGGTTATGCATTTTGAGTGGGTTCAGAGGATAACTCCTTCAGCGGTTCTTGAAAGACTGGAAATCAAAGGTGTCGAGGAGGGTACTGAGACCTAGCACGTCAAGTGACGGAACGTCTTCACTGATACTGAAGCTTTAATATTCCATCAAGGTACCAGATGCTGGGTCAGGTGACGCTGTATTCGTGTTATGTTTACAGTGTCACATGTGAAAACGAACTGTGCGGATGGTACTTGTGATAAGAGAGGCAATAATGTTACATCACGACAGTTTTCAAATTTGAAAACATCTTGGCCAGTCACCACAGTTAAAGCTCATTACTCATTTGAACATAATAATAAATTAAATTACAGAAGGCCTATAGGCCCATACGGGGCAGCTCCTATTTATATCCACCCAAACTCATTCTAACGTATGATGTATGTCTAACCTACGCTTGAAATAATCCAACCCCATTTGGCCCTCAATGAGACAATTCTAGTACCAGAGAAGGGCCCTCAGTCTAGACAGATATTGAATCTAAGACCAGAAGAACGTAGTAGCAAATTGACCTCAGTGATCTATAACAAACTGGCCAACATCTGTGTCGCAATCAGAAATTTGGACACAGGAGCGTTTGTGAGACCCACGCTTGAGTATACAACCCCGGCGTGGAACCCTCCATTGGAAAAACAGACAACACTAGAACAGGTAAAACAGGAATTTTCCATCTTGAACTGAACTGGGTTCAAGCTTTGAAGAATGACTGAAAGAACTGGACCTGTACACATTAGAAAAGAGGAAGATATAGAGAAGACATGATAGTGACATACAAGATTCTAAGGGAAATTTGTGACAAACAAAGGAGTCTACAAAGAGTTGTTCAAAGCAACAGCTAAACAAGGGTGCACAGGTGGAAACTAATAAGACCAACTAGTCATGGAAATGACAGAAAGAATATTTTAAGTGTTACAGTTGTCAATAAATGGTTAACACACACACACACATACACGAAGAGATCAACTAAATGAGGCAACAACGAGAAGTTTACCAAGTCAACATGTCAAGGGCCTCGCAAGAATAGCAGGTAATTACGACCCAGCTTGACTTGACCCGACATTCACTCTGAACAAGTTAGACATAAGTAAATTCAACTATTAAACCCCTGAGAGTGAGCGATCACTGTGTACTTGGATTTGATTATCTTCTGGGAGTTGAAATGACCTGTTCAGGAAGGTACGAAATAAGAAGGCTGGAATACAGATGGGGAAATTATGGGAAATGGGAAAGTTTCAATCAGGAACACTATGGGACTTTGAACTGGGCCATTACATAAACACATAAATAGGAGTTGAAGCTATTTTCAGTTTTACACATAATCTCTCACGCCTCTCTCACGTCACCACACTTCCACATTACTAAATTATCAGATTTCTCCATTGTTTTTTTTTTATAAAAAGCCAGCCCATTAAAACGAACCGTTATTTACAAAGTGTACTCGTATTTTAGTATTTCCCACAATCGTTAACCGCGCTGTTTTCCGTCTTCAACAACAGAACCAATACACACAAAAGACATTCCTAGAGTTGTAAGGGAAAAAAAATGTTTGCCAGTTGACATCACATGTCTGAGACACACATCAACTTGATGACATCAGCTGCACATGAAAGATTGGCAAATATATGGAATATTTCATGAAATCTAGAAAACGTTAATCAAAACAGAATATTTCAGAACTCTAGAAAACCTTAATTAAAACAAAACTGAGCTCCTATTTCACGAAACCCAAGGCAAAACTGAAAGAAACAGAAAAAGAAGACATGATCACGACATACATAGTTATTAAAGTGATAGAAAGGGATAATAACGCGAGATAGTAATAGGAAGCAGCAAATGCCCATTAGAAATAAATTATCAAGTGGTATGAATGTGAAGTGAGACTGGAATATGTGGGGAAGAGGAGGATTAATTGGGTGCCAGGTGAGGGAGAGTGCCAGGTGAGGGAGAGTGCCAGGGAGGTGGGATGACGAAGGAGAAACAAGTGTTGTCAGTAACCCCTCCCAGTCGGAGCTGGGAAGCAGTTGCAACAGGAGCATCTACGAGCCTCTTGGTGCCAGTCGACTCCACCACCCTCCTGGTGCACCTCGTCCCTACTTCTTCCACTGTCCTGGAAAAGTCATCGCGGAAGTAACGGCAAGATGCGGAGAGGTAAGTGAATAGTTGGATGGATGGTTGGATGGATTGATGAAGGGATAGATGGATGAATTCACCGATCAATAGATGAATTCATGAATTGGTATATTGGAACGAGAATGGACGAATGTGAGGAATGATGGATAGGTAGGTGGATGGATGGATGGATGGATGGATGGATGGAAGAGAAGTAAAGTTTAAGAGAGTCAGTCTAAGGTTGATATAACATTAGTGGAAGTTCCCGGGTGTAAGGGACACTAGTGGAAGCCCCCGGGTGTAAGGGACACTAGTGGAAGCCCCCGGGTGTAAGGGACACTAGTGGAAGCCCCCGGGTGTAAGGGACACTAGCGGAAGCCCGCGGGTGTAAGGGACACTAGTGGAAGCCCCCGGGTGTAAGGGACACTAGTGGAAGCCCCCGGGTGTAAGGGACACTAGTATAAGCTCCCGGGTGTATGGGACACTAGTGGAAGCCCGCGGGTGTAAGGGACACTAGTGGAAGCCCCCGGGTGTAAGGGACACTAGTGGAAGCCCCCGGGTGTAAGGGACACTAGTGGAAGCCCCCGGGTGTAAGGGACACTAGTGGAAGCCCCCGGGTGTAAGGGACACTAGTGGAAGCCCGCGGGTGTAAGGGACACTAGTGGAAGCCCCCGGGTGTAAGGGACACTAGCGGAAGCCCCCGGGTGTAAGGGACACTAGTGGAAGCCCCCGGGTGTAAGGGACACTAGCGGAAGCCTGCGGATAGTTTCCATTATTTGTCCTATAGCCTTTCTAGGCTATTGACAAACTGCTGTTGTTAGCAGTGCTAGTCCACCTGCTATTGTTAACAGTGCTAGTTTACATGTTGCTGTTAGCAGTGCTAGTCCACCTGCTATTGTTAACAGTGCTAGTTTACATGTTGCTGTTAGCAGTGCTAATCCACCTGCTGTTGTTAGCAGTGCTAGTCCACCTGCTATTGTTAACAGTGCTAGTTTACATGTTGCTGTTAGCAGTGCTAATCCACCTGCTGTTGTTAGCAGTGCTAGTCCACCTGCTATTATTAACTGTGCTAGTCTCCTTCTGTTGCTAACTTTGGTTAGTCCACCTGCTAGTATTATCTATGTAATCTACCGGATATAAGAAACTGTTATTCCTCCTCCTGTCACTAGCATTGTCAGCCCGCTTGCTGTTGTTGTTATAATTTATAACATATCATTATATGTTATAACTCTGGGGGAAGAGTGAGAGTGGAGGTTACAGATGTGCAGGTAGGAGAGGAAAGGTGCCGGCGCAGTAGTTCAGGTGTGCAAGTGGATGGCTGCTGCATAAAGAGGGAAAAAAATTGTGAGTTATGAAGGCAGGTGTATGTGTGAAGACGTGTTTTGAAACCATGATTGTAATGCTGTGTTTTGTGAGAGGAGTTGGAAACATTTTCTAGCATTTGTGATAAGTACTGTGTGGATATTAATGGGTTCATAGTTGTATGTATATATGTATACTTTGGTGTATGTATATAATAGTATACTTTGGATTATGTATGTATATATGTATACTTTGAAGGTTTTGAAACAACTTTGCTGGTACTTTTTTTGTTGGGTTATGCTATTGGTTATATTGAGGTTAATAAATATGTTTGTGCTTTCAAGTGTGTTTGTATAAGTATGTATGTGAGGGGGAGAACTATACATATTGGGTGAACATATACGTACAGGGGGTGCATATATGAATGAGATGAGCTTGTATAAATGGGTTGATGTAGTACGAATGGAGGTGTATTTGCATAAATGGGGTGTGCTTGTATGAATAGGTTGTGTTTGTATTAATGTAATGCGCTTGTATTAATGGAGTGTACTTGAATGTATGAGAATGTGCTTGCATGAATGGAATGCGCTTGTATGAATGAGGTTTACTTGTATGTATGGGGGAATGCTTGTATGTATGGGGGTGTACTCGTATGTAGGGGAGTGCTTGTGCTTGTATGTGTAATGTGTCCTTGTGGCGCGTAGCCATCATGCATATTTGCAACCAGAGAACAGGAAGAGAGCCTTCAGTCCTTCTCTCTTGTCCTCACCTGTCCAGAGAGGACTAGCGAACCAGCGATAATTATGTGCAATATTATTTGGTTTTACTCCTCTTTCTCTCTCTCTCTACCCAACTACTTGGGCTGGACGGTAGAGCGACAGTCTCGTTTCATACAATTCGGCGTTCAATCCCCGACCGTCCAAGTGGTTGGGCACCATTCCTTCCCCCACATCCCATCTCAAACACTTATCCTCGTCCCTTTCAAGTGCGATATAGTGTTCCCTTCCCTTCTCTCTCTTTCAATCACTCTCTCTCTTTCAATCACTCTCTCTCTCTCTCTCTCTCTCTCTCTCTCTCTCTCTCTCTCTCTCTCTCTCTCTCTCTCTCTCTCTCTCTCTCTCTCTCTTTGTTGTATATTTAGCCATTCTCTATCTTCTCTCTCTCCTTTTATGCTCCAACCGACACCAAATACCCCGGCCCACAGTGATGCTGGTACAGACTGCCGTACTGGTAACACTGATGCTGGTAGTGGGAACAGTCATCTCTCTGTGTCTCCGGCATCGTAGCAGCAGCTGCACCAGGTACTACCAAAAATATCCACTTTCATTAAAGTAAAGGTAATGTTTAAGAGTTTGGTTTTTTCCTAATTTAACTTTCCTCGTGATCAGAAAACGTATAATTTTTGTGCTATTGTATAAACACAAGCGTATGTGCGTATGCTAACCCGATGCTCCTAAGCTCGAGAAAGCGTACAAATCACCACAAAATAAACTCACTATTTATGACTGTGTTGAACGTATAAACATAGCTGTAATTAGTGTGTTATAAGCTGCATTTTGCAGTTATAACTTCTTAGTGTCAAGTGAAAAACTTTAGACTTAATGTTCACGGCTCATTTGCGACCTTATTTGTAATATATATATGTGTCTATATAAATATAGACCCAAATTTGATTATATTTGCTCACATTTATCTATATTTGCCTATATTTGCCTATATTTACACATATTTGTCTATATTTACCCATATTTGTCTATATTTACCCATATTTGTCTATATTTACCCATATTTGTCTATATTTACCAATATTTGTCTATATATATTCATACGTACACATATTGACCCATATTACACCAGATTTAACTATATTTACTTACAATTATCAATATTTTGCTAAGTGTAATATTGTGCCATAGAATTATTATTATTATTATTGTGAGGGAATAAGGATTTTCACATGTTTTCAGCAGTGTGTCTACTAAATGTAATCATTATAACAGTTTCTCTAAATAGATCTTTCACAAAAGATATTGTTTTGAAAGTTGTATCACTTATATGTCTTTTTTTATTAACAGTATCAATAATACAAATTACTTTCTCAGTCTAAACTTAATGGAATTAATATTTAATATCTATCTTTATTCACCCATTCTTCTACTCAAATCTATTACCTAATATTCTCTCTTCACCAAAAACTTCCTGACCACATGATGTCCAGAGAGCCACTCAGCCATGATGACTTGGTCGACGAGGTTGTACCCGCCTTCCCTTTGAAAACTCACAACCACAGCCACCACCCAGGTAAACTCCCCTCTCAGTACCCACAGCCACTCCCACCACCCAGGTAAACTCCCCTCTCAGTACCCACAACCACAGCCACCACCCAGGTAAACTCCCCTCTCAGTACCCACAACCACAGCCACCACCCAGGTAAACTCCCCTCTCAGTACCCACAACCACAGCCACCACCCAGGTAAACTCCCCTCTCAGTACCCACAGCCACTCCCACCACCCAGGTAAACTCCCCTCTCAGTACCCACAACCACAGCCACCACCCAGGTAAACTCCCCTCTCAGTACCCACAACCACTCCCACCACCCAGGTAAACATAATTGGGTGGTGGGATGTTACGACCCACCTGGTTTTCACATGTGTGCGTATCTTATTTATTCCGTGCCAATTTGTCTAGTATGAGTGGTATTTACATATAATGGATTGGCTGCTATATTATGTTTATGATAGGATGTGGTGGTAGCATATTTTATGCTATACGTGATCAGATGTGAGCCGTGATAAGGGCTGGTTTTATATATGTGAGTGAGAAGAGCAAGTCGGTGGGTCGGTACTGTTGCCTGTTTGTAATAATAATAATAATTTATTTAGGAACAGTACATACATAGTTGCAGAGTTACAGAACAAACATTCTGTTAGATTTAAAGATAGAGGTAGTACATACAATACCTAAAGCCACTAGTACGCAAAGCGTTTCAAGTTGTTTCATCATACAGAATTATTATCTTCTTTTACGAATGTTTAGTGTTTTAGTTATACTTCCCAAATGTGGAGAATATTATAGTAGTGTGATTGTGTCTGTTTTTGAGTGATTATCTCAAGTGTGTCCAAGTGTGTTAGTCACGAGGGTTGTGTCAGACGATTGGTTGGTGAGGGAGGAGGCGTCTGTGTGGGGGCAACCTCGCCTGGAGACCTCAGTGCTATAGTGTTGGTCCACCGGACCAACCAGACCTTCCACCAGACTCCACCGGTTGGCGGTGGAGTCTGGTGGAAGGTTGTCTGTAAAAGATAAGTCTGTTGTGTTTCCTGTTGTTAGGCTTTATTGTGTTTAATCAGTCTGGCATGCTAGAAAGTGTTATACATGTATAAATATTATTAAAAAGTGATTGAGTGATACTCTGGATATCTGGATATATATTATTTTCTGTGTCGTCTCCTTTAAGTAAACTGATTTTATCGTTAACATAGTATTGATTCACCCCATTTCTCCCTAGATAAGCTTGTATTATATTAATTTTGGGTGAATTTAAATAACTGTGAGATAGAACGAGCACAGGGAGACTAGCGAGACGTTCCATGGGAGTCTTGAGCCTGAACAATCTTTAGGACTGTTGAGCCTTATGTTAATATTACTTTATATCTACGTCCTACAATTTTTTCGTAAAACAAATTATTGTATGACATTTACACATGTCATTCCTTGCCAGTTTCCTCATCGGCTTGGCATAAATAGCCAACAACACACTAGAACACATAACTTGTGAATGCCAGGAGCAGCAGGAGTCCCAGCACTGGTCTTCTGTAAACCATGATTCGGATATAAGACTGTAGAAGTGGATCGTTTCCGGCATTGATTATAAAGAACATAAATGAGAGAGGGTTGGTGGAAACAAGAGATGCCTTACTTAAGCTAATAAGCCTTTTTACAGGTTACGTAGTTCTGTTGTTTGTGTGTGTACAGAGGAGGCGCTGCAGGAGACGCAGAAGGTGCGGGTGCTGTGTTGGGTGATGACTCGTCCAGAGACACACCACAGCAAGGCCGTCCACGTCAAGGCCACCTGGGGCGCCCGCTGTGACAAGCTTATCTTCATGAGCTCCAAGAATGGTCAGTAGTACCCCCTCAGAGTAGTCAGTGGCCCTCATGTTAGTGAGTAGCGGTCCTCAGAGGTACTCTTCAAAGTGCTTGGGGTTTCTGTTCAGAATGGTCAGTGGATGTCCTCAGAATGGTTAATGGCCTTTCTCAGAATGAATAATGGTCCTCCAGAAAATGGGTCATTGACCATCCTAGTTGCCTCAGTCCTTATTGTTCTTAGGCAGTCAATGAATCTTAAAAAAAAAATGCAACCAATTCAGCGGAAGAAGAGCAATACGAAGGATAATAGAATTAACTTAATAAATCTTGAGAGCAACAATTGGCATCTGTAATGCACAGGATGAGTGACATTCCCACCATCTGTCTTTTATATTCCAGCTCCCTGGAATATTGGGGTCATCTGGAACAACTTCCCGCTGCCCTTGACCCTCTCCCCTTCTGTTGCTTATTCTCCTACTCCAATACCAGTTGTCTTGCCCCTACTGAGGGTCACCTTCTTGACCCCTCAAGAAGGTGACCCTCAGAAGCTGTTCTTCACAGCTTTGTGCCTTCTTGACATCTTCTACCAAGATGGTAATTATGGAGGTGTTGAAGAAGGTCGTATCCGCAGACACTCAACTTGGGACTATCGACCTTGGTCTTGGTGAGGGGAGGAACGTGTTGTGGGGCAAGACAAAGGCAGCCTTCACCTACGTCTACAACAACTACTTGACTCAATACGACTGGTTCTTTAAGGCCGACGACGACACGTAAGTCACCTCGCAGATCTACGTCGATAACGATGCGTAAGTTACTTCAGAACTCTACGTAAACTGGAGGTAGACTTGAAATAATCTGTATCTGAGTGCAAATTTTCACTGATAATCATCAGTCCATCATTTATTGCCAGTCATCAATTTAACTGTAAGAAGTAGTCAATCATGTATCGCTAACAGTTACAAACTTCAACCAGTCTCACTTGCAGCTACAGTCGTCAACTAACTTGTTATTGACCGTCTCCTAGCCACCTGTCACAGTTCAAGTTTCAGCCAATATCTCGTTACCAGTCATTCATCTGTTACTGCCAGTCTTATATATATCAACTAGTTAATGTCCATTCAATTCACAAATTTGCCTTCAACATTTCATTTCAACAACGTTCACCAACCAGACAGTCACATCCACTAAGAGTTAGCAATCCTCCTGATACTGAAAGACCCACTCATGTTCCTATCTGCAGCAACTAATCAGTTATCAATATAAATTTCATAATCACAGTCTTCAGCACATTCATCTATATCAGTCATCAACCCAAATATCACTATCAGTTAAAATCCTCAACTATTGATTCAGTACCAGTCTAAATTCTCCACCAATGTTTCACTGCCAGTCTAAATCATGCAAGAACATGTTACTGTTAGTCACGGTCATCAACCATCAGTCGCATCCATCAACCACCAGTCACAAGCAGTCTAACCGCAGTCAAATTCATCAACTACCAGTCAGAGTCATCAACCACCAGTCAGTCACTAACCACCAGTCACAAACAGTCTACCACTCAGGTACGCCATCATGGAGAACATGCGCTACATGCTTTCTCTGTACGACCCCAACTTCCCCATCTACTTCGGCTCAAGGTTCAGGAAGTTCACCAAGCAAGGCTACATGAGTGGAGGTAAGTGGGTGATTGTAGGTGGGTGAGAGACTAAGTGCAATAGCTGAGTGTGAAGTTGAATGTGAGTTAGAGACTATAGTAAGGTGAGAGACAATTATTTTATTTATTAACCATACTGTGCTACCTGTTGTTAAAATGTATTTTGAAACCCTGGATATATTAACTAAAGATTTGTATAATCCTTCCATTATTTTGTTAATGTTAATGAAAACAAATGTTATTCGCACTGTCTCTTCTGCTTCGTCTGCCTATGTGTTTGTCTGTCTTTCTGTCTATCTTTCTGCTTGTCTGTCACTTTCTCTCCCTGGCTGTGGTCGCAGGTGGAGGGTACGTGTTGAGCAGGGAGGCCTTGAAGCAGTTTGTGGAGGTGGCGCAGCCTGACAAGAAGCTCTGTCAGCAGGATAACACTGGCGCCGAGGATGCTGAGATGGGTCAGTGGATGCTGAGATGGGTCAGTGGATGCTGAGATGGGTCAGTGGTTGCTGAGATGGGTCAGTGGATGCTGAGATGGGTCAGTGGATATTGAGATGGGTCAGTGGATGCTGAGATGGGTCAGTGGATGCTGAGATGGGCCCGTGGATGCTGAGATGGGTCCGTGGATGTTGAGATGGGTCAGTGGATGCTGAGATGGATAAATGGATGCCGGGATGAGTCAGTGAATACTGAAATGAGCTAGTGGATGCTACGATGGGTCAGTGGATGTTTTAATTAGTTAACTGATGAGGATAGATTATGAGTCGGGTCCGTGGATGCTGTATTGGGTGAAAAGATGGCGAGACAGGGGGGTAGAAATAGCCAAAGCTACTCTATCCCTTTGAGATGTATTTCTTTTTTATCTCAATAAGCATACTTGAACTTGAACTTGAATGCCGAGACGGATCAGTAAATGATTCAATGCAGGAGAATTTACCTAGAACTTTTACAAATAAATTGACCAAGCTACCCGTCATTTTCTGTATATATTCAAAGGAACGAATTATATTTTTAATTTTCTTAAAATTTTTCCATAGCTCTATGAACAGGCAAAAAAACAACTATTGAACAATATAAGGGTCTGTTGGTCTTTGAATTCCTTTGAAATCCTTCGTTACTGGCTGCAGGAAAGTGTCTAGACAATATTGGAGTTGTGGCCGGAGACTCCCGGGACAACATGGGTCGAGGCCGCTTCTTTCCCCTCACCCCCAGCACGCACCTCTTCAATGGCGTCCCTAACTGGTACCTCGACTACGTCTACTACACGCCCGACACGGTACGGCACCCACAGTACGGTACGTCACATTATTTCTATACTCCAGTACTTGGAATGTGCACTGATGCCTTAACCTGTCGACCCGTCCTCAGGGCCTCAACTGCTGCTCAGACTCGGCTGTGACCTTCCACTACGTTGATACCCAGTTGATGTACTTGATGGAGTACCTGTTGTACCACCTGAGGCCCCACGGTCTCCACCCCAACCACCCCGTTCCGGTACCTCTTCCTCCGGACCTAGACAGCATACATCCCCAGGCGAGTCAGAACCCACGACTCTGCTTCGTGGCTCTAACACCGTCACAAAATGTGGAATACCTTGCCACAGGAAAATTTTACCTCCCGTCTCATACATGTATAATATTCACTTCGAGCGTCAGAGATAGACGGAGACTGAGACAGTGATGTAGAGACCGAGAGAAACGAGAGACAAATAGACTGAGAAATAGATGCAGAAACAAAGAAACAGAGAGACAGAGAGCGATAAATTTATATATTTAGAGTTCAAATATTCCAAGCATTTAAATTAGACTTTTTACTTTTGAAATTGAGGTAAATTCACCAAATAGCTTTTTTTTTAACTCATTAGCCACTAATATTTTCTACTATTGTTTATCGTAAACTTAAATATACGAGATTAAGTTTACATTAACTAAGTTTTTGTCCCAAACTTTTTAAGTTGAATACAGTTAGAACTTTATTAAATAGAGCTTTCACTCTTTATTCTGATAATAAACTATTTGACTATGAAATAAACTTCTCGCATAGCCTCTTGTAATCAAATACTCTTCGAAGTTAATTATTTTATAGTTTTGTGAAAATTCTTAAATACTAAATTTCTACCTAGCGTCAAAATTTCTACATATCCTAAAAAAAAAAAAAAAAAATTAGGTTTCATTTTCACTCTGGGTGCTGTTAGAAAGGAATATTAGAAAGGAACTTCGTAATATTATTAGACATTCTTATCCACAAATATGCTTACAGATTGTGTTTAACTAACTACTACACAATTGGAAAAAATTTAAAAACCGAGAGAACCTTAACCCTCTGACCTCAGAGGGTTAAGGCAATGTTTACCTTTCTACCTCACACGACATCTAAGAGTATAATGGTATCTTTCACCGCACAGGTTTGCCCCTTAGACAGGTTGCGTCCTCTTCTATTAGAGACCACTGAAAAGAAATGAGCCATTATCTCACACACAACCATTTCACTTCTCTGATTTCCAAATCTTTCCGACTAGATCTCAATATCTTGAAATGTATCTCGATCGCGAAAATGAGATCCGCGTTGAACACTTCTGAGTTTTTGAACTCAGCAGTTTACATAGTATTTTGCAACCCGTTCTTATCAACAAAGTCCAGATGCTCGATATTCCAGCTTACAACCCCCCCCCCCCGCCGCCAACCCTCCCCTTATTTATAAAATTCATAACTATGATTATACAATTAAAATAAACCCGTACATAGAAGGTAATGATAGCTATCATATTGTCATGAATTTCTTGACTAAAAGGCTTTTTACCTACTTGCAAATTTTGTTGTGTTGATACCACCAATCAAATCATTTAATTGATCGATGTAATTACTTTAGTCACTAGTTATTACAACACTAGGCCAGTGTGGTTGTCTTTCCATTTCGAGACTTTCGATGGCGTGGAGAGGGGTGACCCGCTGCATGGGTGACAGCTTCTCCCCCCGTATCTGCCTACCCTGGCTTCTTCATCCTCTATTAATTATCCTTCACATTTCAGATGCTTATGAACCGAGGTGTAACAACGTCAACTGCAGGAACGAAGCAGGAAACAGCAGGAATGAATAAAGAAGAATCAGGAAGTAAGCCGGAAATAAGCAGGTTGTAAGCAGGAACGAAGCGGGAAGTAATATGGAGGGATAAGAATGAAGCAGAGATGGAGCAGGAAGAAACGAAGGGGACATACAAAGATGAGGAAGCAGTAGAAATGTAGATGAAAATATGAACTGAGCAAGAAGCAACAGGAAAGAAGCTGACAGAATAAGATGTTGAGTAACAAGAAACAAGTAACATTAACTAAGGAAATAGTATAACGCAGCAGGAGTAACAGGGATGTATCAGGAAGTAACAAAAACGGAGCAGAGAGGAGCACAATGATCTATGCTCACCTAAAAAAACATGCAGTGCAAATTATTATTAAAAGAGAGAGAGAGAGAGAGAGAGAGAGAGAGAGAGAGAGAGAGAGAGAGAGAGAGAGAGAGAGAGAGAGAGAGAGAGAGAGAGAGAGAGAGAGAGAGAGAGAACGCTTTCTGTATCAGAGTGGTAGAAAGCTTACAACCAATTTCAGCCTGTGTTCGTGACTTTGGTACCGATCCTTTAATGTTTGCTCCTGTTTACCTAGCAGTAATTGGAGACGTGGCTTTGAACCCACTGCCAGATTTTGTTCGCAGGGGAAAACTACTGGGGCAAGGCTTAAGATGATCTACGGGAAGTTAAAGCCTTAAAGTCTACTAGTATGAGTCAGAAGTCGTCTGCTCCTGTACCCACCTGCAAAGAAGAGAGCACAGAGAGAGACATAGAGGGATATTACATTATTGTACATTGTGAATGTTCACCGGGTACAAATTTCATAACCCTGTTTTGACTGTTGATAACTGCACCCAGCATAGAGTTAATGTGCATCACTGTGGAACAAGACAGATATGTTGACCAGACCACTCACTAGAAGTTGAAGGGACGACGACGTTTCGGTCCGTCCTGGACCATTCTCAAGTCGATTCCCCCGTATTCAATCGACTTGAGAATGGTCCAGGACGGACCGAAACGTCGTCGTCCCTTCAACTTCTAGTGTGTGGTCTGGTCAACATACTTCAGCCACGTTATTGTGACTCATCGCCTGCAAGACAGATATGTGAATGCTATCAATTATTCGTTGACATTTTGAACCAATCACACATTTTTTTAAACATATTTCCCGACAAGTTGATGTTTCAGCAATGAGATCAAGAGATTATATAAGGCATCCGGCTTATAAATGATTTCAGCTTCCCCCCCCCCCCCCCCCGCCACCTTTTCCTTTATGGCTGTAATGAAACATCAAATACAGCATGCTATTACATAAAGCATGTTACTAGGTCAATATCTAAAGCCTGGCTTTCAAATAAGCTGATGTAAGACAACAGATATTAGCTTACAAAACTCTCATTTTAATTTTAATGCTGAGGTCAAATATTAATGTTATGAAGACTGACGTCAGTAGAATATGACAAAATATTACACTTTTGTCACGTGGGACGCTTGCTTCTATCATCTGAATAAAACATCTGAAACTTCCATTATATTTCTAAATAAATACAATAATGTATAAATAATTAAAATTTATGAAAACAGACAATCATGGTGAGTTGAATTGACATAAAAACAGAGAAGGAAAATAGTTAAATAACGAAATACAACAGACTGAAAGTGAATAATGAGGTGTGGAGATAATACATAGGCCTTGAAATTGTATTTAGACTTTTGTCTTTATCTACGGGCATGAACTGGAGTCCAGGACGAAACAGAAAGCACATCCTGGAACAGAAATAGTTATACTTGACATGAAATGGAACAAAAGGGGGAGCTGCCTTGTATGGGCCAATAGGCCTTCTGCAGTTACCTTTGTTCTTATGTTCTTATGTTCTTAAAATAAGCGTAAGAAAATATAGCATTGCAGAATAACATGAACCAAATGCAAAGGTGATGGCTATATTGAGTTTTGCTACTCAGGTCAAATAACAGTGTAGCCATTGGTCAATAACAGTTTATATTCTCAGTAATTATAATCTATAGATAAAATACTTGTGTCCAGGAAAACTCAGTAAAGTCTTCTTCGAATACCTTTTATTCTCTTCTGCGAGGCTATGGGTCACCACAATTGTACCAGAGGTGGTGCACGCGTATATACAGTATTAAAATAATACTTTTTATAAAATGTACAAGTATAATACTTTTAGTATTTATTTAATATAAAATAATACTTTATATATATATATATATATATATATATATATATATATATATATATATATATATATATATATATATATATATATATATATATATATATATATTTTTTTTTAATACTATATAATTTAATAGCACGAGTTTGTTTTATCCCCTTCACAATTATTACACAACAAAAGTTACATAGGTAAACAATTAAGTCATCCCTTTCTAAAGTATGGGAGGTCATCAGTACGTGGTGGTGTGGCTCCTTGATACCTTCTCTAAGGAGCACTCACAGGTCGCCCTCATGCTCCTTGTGAGGAGCATTACTGCTACTTTAATCGTGTGTGTGACAGGTCAAGTATATGGGGGATCGTGGTTATAAATATCTCTTTGTTATTATTTAAGGATTACCGAGCTGAGGAGAGGAAAATGGAAAGAAAATGGATGTAGGCATAGATTCTATATGTCTCTGGAAATTAGTGTAATGGTCGGTTAGAATATAAGAGTGACAGGGGATTCATTCAACTTTCCAGAGGAGGAGAATTTGGCCAGGATTTCTCAAGCATTTGCGCCACTACTCCTTAACCTGTACATCTTTCCTCGGACGTGGTGGCTTTGTTTGCGTTTATTAAATAGTTTATGAACCTCGAAGCACCACGTGGCTGTTTATACCAATAATAACTTTGGGTTGCGAAGTTTCGAAGCTCGTTAAGTGTTTAATAAATGTAAACAAAGCCAGCCTGATTAAGAAAAGATGTACAGGTTCCGTAAGTGACTGCGTAAAAGTTTGATGAAGCCTGGCCCCTGGTTTGTGAATCACGTAATGGTAAGGAGACAACAGAAGAGCAGGAAAATATTCGTCCACAATTCTTTAGATATTACAACAGAAGAATAATGACAGCAAGAAGGTGGCTAACACAGCTGTAGACAAATAGACGAATCTTAGCAATTCTATACAACACGATAAGATCAGTTCTGAGTTGATCGCTGGCCGCCAGCCGAAGTGGGTTTGGGGTGAACCACAATGCAGTCCCACTCCAAATCGAGGAGGAGGGAGTGCAGGGGGAGGGATAGGGGGACGGGCAGATTGCGTCACGCAAGAACACGCCTACACAGCCTATCGGATCCCTCAGAAGGGATGGTGATACGCCGGTCTCACGCCATTCTTCATCTGTGATAAAGTGATGTCTCACTCCTCCATCTCGTACATCTTGCTGGGGTCAACACGATGGAAGGAGACGGCGGAGTCAGAGCAACAGTGGAATCCCTAAGGACGGTCCATCTGGTCAGTCAAGAAGCTGCTTGTGATAACCTACGTGATAGGTTTGGCATTTCCCTATTTCATAATGATATATATATATATATATATATATATATATATATATATATATATATATATATATATATATATATATATATATATATATATATATATATATATATATATATATATATATATATATATATATATATATATATATATATATATATATATATATATATATATATATATATATATATATATATATATATATATATATATATATATATATATATATAAAGATTCCTTACACAAGTTTCTAAAGGCCGTGTGTGTGTGTGTAAAGTAATGAGATGTCAGATGATATTTTTTTTTTTTTTTTAGATATATACAAGAGTTGCTACATTCTTGTACAGCCATTAGTACGCGTAGCGTTTCGGGCAGGTCCTTGAAATACGATCCCCGCCGCGAAGAATCGTTGTTACAAGCAGGTATCCTGGCCGGGGAGGATTTACTGGGCGCAAATCCTTAACTGTAGCCTCTGTTTAACGCAACAGTAAAATGGGTACTTGGTTGTAACAACGATTCTTCGCGGTGGGGATCGTATTCCAGGGACCTGCCCGAAACGCTACGCGTACTAGTGGCTGTACAAGAATGTAACAACTCTTGTATATATCTTAAAAAAAAATATATATATATATATATATATATATATATATATATATATATATATATATATATATATATATATATATATATATATATATATACTCCAACTTTTCCTCCAGCTTCCAGTCAGCGTCTGGGGGGAGGAACGTTTGTGCTTACCACTATGTGCTGACTTCTATAGAGACTTTTATGGCTCTGTGTTTAATAAAAATGTTACATAAGTATTATCTATCTGTTTTTTAATTGATGAAGTGATATGTGATGATTATGATAATTGGTAACTTTTTCAATTGATAATTTTTTAATTATCAATTAACATTTTTTAAATTTATGATTTTTTAAGTGAAGATTATGATAATCGATCATTTTTAATTGATAATTTTTGTAATTGATGTAAACTCAGGTAAACTCAGCAAGAGGTATAAAATAAGTAACACAATAGCAAGTGTACAGATGTAAACAATTTACAATGTTTACGTTTCTGCCCGAAACGCTATACATGTTAGTGGCTTTGGAAGAATATATCGCTCAGGCACCATGGTTATGTATTCTCACAACTCAATGTACCGTCTTGTATATAAATAAATAAAATAAATACAATAAAAAAAACAATATAACAATATACGTAAGTCTACCATAACATTCATTTTCTGTAGCAACGCTCTCATAGAGTATGTTTAACAGATACTTTCACGGATACACTGCAATGGAACAATCTATTCAGTTTCACATCGCTATAAGGATTGGAAGCCTGTTTTTTTTTTTAATAATAATAATTTTTATTTAGGTAAGGTACATACATAAAGAGATTTTACAAAGTTTGTTGGCTTTATAGATAGAGCTAGTACATACAATGCCTAAAGCCACTATTACGCAAAGCGTTTCGGGCAGAAACGCTGCCTTCGTTTCGGGCAGTTTGACGTATCAAGGCGTCACTAAGCTAACTACATCCCTTCCCCAGGATGCAAGCCACAACAGCTGTCGACATGTCCCAATATCTAGGCGGCTGTTGAGTTGTCAACAAGTTCGGAAACCAGCTCATGCAAAGAGAAAAAACATCAGCAGCATATGAAAAGTTTGCAAATGTAAGAACATCATTTAGGAACATAAACAAAGATTGACTTTTAAGTCCATACACACACTGCCTATGTGAGTCATTACTGGAGTATGCAGCCTCACTGTGGAACCCCACACCTTGTGACGCGTAAACTCAAACTTCAGAAGTTTGCAACTAGATTAGTACCTGCTGTACCTGTTGCAGGTACTAATCGACCTTGTTTGCCCTCAACCTGTCCTTATAGCTGAGACTTCTCAATGCAGGTAACCTGCATTGAGAAGCCTCAGTTATAAGTATAGGTCACATATATTGTAAGGTTATAACTTATAACCTCAGTTATAAGTATAGGTCACTTGAAAGAAAGCGTCACAGCCTCACAGGAGAGAAGAATAAGAGCGGTTATGGTAATTACGTAGACGTACTTGAGAGGAATAGATAAATTGGATAAAGTATATTTAAAATAAAATTTAAATGCAACTGAATCGTAGAGATGTAAGGAAGGTCTCGTTCCCTGTCCTGGTGGTCGGCCAGTTTAATGCACTGAAGGAAGAGGTTGTTGAACCCAATTCCATTCACAACTTTAAAGATAAATATGATAAAAGCGTTAATATGGAGAGAGGCAATTAGCGCGCAAGATATTAATAGGCGCGAGGCGGGGCATAAAAAGCTAGATCTCACTCCCCAATAGTCACTGATAGGTAAGCTCCTGGTTATCAATTTACTGCTAGGACAACAGATGAAAAGAAATGTTGCAAACGCTATTGTCCTGCCGTGGGGGAATGCATCCAGAACCCTTGGTTGTACCCGACGACGCAGAAAACTGCCTTGTGTCACTAAATATGACCAAAGGACTTACATAAATGATTCTACCACGAATGTTATGGAGATTTCTGGACTTGGAAGTTTAAAATTAACTCTCTAAAGTTCCTTTTACAGCTTTAATGAGCCTGAAGAGTTTCACAGAGAAAGATTTGAATCCTAAAAGGCAGATGAGAAAACATGAGGGAAAATACAGCAACATATATATTACATTTTAATTTTATAAGAGTGAGCCGGTTGACTTGTCGAAGAAAACGGGGACTCTTGTCCTATAGTCTCATTGGTTGCGTGGGCCAATTGTGTGATGAAAACTAGCAGTTCTCTCTTGTCTTGTAGATGGTTGGGCCAACCTTGAAGCAAGTTGGCTTTTGGTAATTAAATGATAGAATGTTTGATGTGAATTGCTTCTGTTGTGTCTAATCTCCAACTGCCACTGTATCTTTCGACTGTTTGGCTTCCGGTCACCATATCTCTGGTGATGGTCTGGTTGTGTGTATAAATTGTGATGATATATTCTTTTTTGTCGTACGATGCTTGATGCTTTGAAAAAGATGTTGGCGTCTTGTCAATAAAATAAAAATATTTGGGCTTATAGACTCCAGGTGGACATGTAAAGATATTGCCAAACATTCTAATCTTTCAAGGTGTTCTGTCTGGTGTTAATCGAGTTAGCTCTTCATGAGCAAGATGAAAGGTTTTCACCAAATTTTTCCACAACAGGTAAATGACTTTCATTCGGGAATTTTCCTATTGGGTTGCTGATGTGAAGTGGAAGAAAATGAGGTGCAAAAAACGGAACTGATATATCAATACTCCGTTGGCGGAGCTTTTCTATAATAGAAATTATATGTATAGCTGTGATCGGTCAAGCCCCCAGGCAGCAGCTTCGTCGTCGCAGCTGCCTTCGTCAGACTCAGACGTGCCCTGGTACTAGGCAGACTCAGACGTGCCCTGGTACTAGGCAGACTCAGACGTGCCCTGGTACTAGGCAGACTCAGACGTGCCCTGGTACTAGGCAGACTTAGTGAAGTTGATCACGTGGCGATGCTAAGGCAGGCTCGCATTCTCACTCACCGCACTCTCTCACCACACTCACTCACCACACTCACTCAACACACTCTCAGTCTTTAAGGCCTACATGTGTTCAATCAGCGCTCCGCTGTTCCTGCCGCGGCTGTAATCCCGCGCTCCTTCAGCAGCTGAAACGTGAAAGAATGAATCAGGAAACAGTACTGTATTTTGAAACCAACACAAGTGTTACCACAAGTGTTGCGTATATGGAAGACATTTTTGTTCAGTTCTCTTCTATTTCATCGCAAGTGTTTATGAGAGGTACCATAAGTGTGGAAAATTTGATTATGAACTTTGGTTTAATAAAACAATCCACTCCATCAGTGTTAAATATACAAAAATTATAGGATCGGTACCAAATACCAAAAAAATAGGAATACCAAAATTATATAAATTATATATAATTATAGAAATACCAAAATTATAGGATCGGTACCAAAGTCAGATCTCTTGTTGTGTGCCCGAACACAGCCTGAAATGTGACAGTGTCAGACCACGGAGGAAAATTGAAACAGGAATTTCCTTAAGTACTTTCGTATATTAATACATCTTCAGAAGGAGTGATTTTACAGGTCAAGTATTGGACATATATAGGTAGGAGAGAATGGTGGATTGAGGTGAGGTACAATAACAAATGAATGGGAATTAGGTGGATACAAATATGAGCCGCACAAGAACTGCAGAAGGCCTATTGACCCATACGATGCAGCTCCTATCCATACCCACCAACAGGCCCAAAAATGGATAATAATAGCATAAGATAATAAATATTTACAATGAATTAGTGAGACAAAATGTGTTCCAATGATCCTACTCAAATCACCCTTTAATTGATTTATCAAAAGTGGATCTAAGTTATATAAACCAGTGCTAATGTTCAAATGATGTTCTTTTGTAATCTGTATCAAAGCAGATTCAATTATGTTTATGTTATAAAGTGCTTTTACAATTCGTTATTGAAGAAGCCATCTATTCGATGGCTTCTTCAACACAACAATTTCTGAACGTCAAATATTACTTAAACTTATATAATTTTGATACACGTTACAATGGTTTTGATGGTCAATGTTCTGTTGTTGTTGTTGTTATTATGTTCCTTCTGTCGTTTTTGTTCTTTCTGGCGTCTGTTCATGCTTCCGTCTGACCAAACTGTCGCTTGTTCTTAGTATTAACTGTTATTGCTAAAGTATTTTCTTGCTACTGTCTGTTCGTGCAAAAGTCTGATCTTGCTACTGTCAGTTTTTGTTACTGTTTGTTCTTTCTCCTGTCTTTTTTTTATTACTGTTTGTTCTTTCTACCGTCTATTCTTGCCACAGTCTGTTCTTGTTACTGTCAGTTCTTGTTAATGCGTATTATTTCTACAATCTATTCTTTCTACTGTCTGTTGTTGATGTGGATGTCATTCCTCGCTCCTTCAGCAGCTGAAACATAAATTAATATATCAGTCAACAGCACACGGCTCTTGAGTCCACCCTAAAGTCACAGAGGAAGCATTACACATACATGCCATTGTCTTTAGTCCCAGGGTCCCTTCCACTTCCTCCCCCGTGAAGGGGCTAGGGACCCCCCTGCCCCTTCGTAGGGGTAGTACTCACCTGAGGGGGGATGGAGTCGTGGTCCGGGGGTAAAGGAAGAGGGAAGGGATGGCTGGTGGAGACGCCGAGGGGCCTCAGATGGTACAACAGGTAGTCCATCTCGTACATCTTGCGGGGTTCAATATAGTGGAAAGAGATGGCCGACTCTGAGCTGAAGTTGACACCCTGAGAACGGCTCACCAGGTAAATCAAAGGCGATGATAGGGACAACTCTAGCTACTGAGAATAATATGTTTACTTTCTGCTTTCGTTATCATATGGATGTATATATTTTTGTCTAAAATCTTAATGAATTACATTTAGAGGTCTTTCCTTGTTAAATAATCTTCACTTATGGTTTATTATTTCCAATGAAAGTGTACCTCCAAAACTGTACATTAAATATATATATATATATATATATATATATATATATATATATATATATATATATATATATATATATATATATATATTCTTGCACTTATCAAATCCTTAAGAGCATCAATAGCAATAAGAGGATTTTTGCAGTTTACCGACTCTCAAGGAGCACTGTACACCTTGTGGTAAAGAAGTAGGGTGCTGCTGTGGAGGATTTGTTAGGGTGATGGTCATACTCAAGACGCTAGTGTGTAATATTCAGTGAATGGATAGTTGTCATTGGCAATATGTTTAGCATATACCCTTCATCTAAGTCTTCCAAGCAGATGTCTCTCAACACAATGTAATTGTGTTGGGAGACTAACACAATTAAGAGGGAGACTAAGACTGTGTTGGAAACAGATTAATGGAGATGACGAGGAGATAAATGTAATCGGAAGATGTACATATCTGGATAATGAATATCCGTCGAGGAGGTCAGATGTGTACACAACAAGAAAAGACGTACCGTGTCAGGCTTGTAATAGATTTCGGATTTTATCCATCCATCAATCTCATTGAAGAGGCAGTTTGTTAAGGTCATTTGAAAGAAGCGTCCACGACCACTACTGTCTCGCGAGTCGCCGAACATAACTCCAACATTCTTCAGACATATTCCTGCAATGAGTCACTTCAGCTAACACCATGAATGAACACTTTCCTGTAGGTAGTATGCTGCTACAGTTCAGACATATGATGGAACATGAACCATTATGTGTTTGGAACTTTACACAAGGGAACATTAATGCCTCACTCCAACTTCCTACAAGGGGAACATGAACACCGGTCTAGATAAACACACCAGGGCGCTTGAAATCTGTTCTAATTCTAAAATCAAGTGAACATAATATTTTTCTGTAGGAGAATTCACGTTGGGATATGAAATCTCCTTCTTGAATTTCAAACATGGAAACATCAACGATATTTATTTCATGTTTGTAGATGATACAACGACGGATATGTCCATGTACTTGGTATATAATATAAATGTCACTCATATTGCATGTTATATCACGTGTTACGCATTCGCCAAGTAAACAGGAAGCCTTTGATCTAGTGTCCCCTCACCCTAGATGTATTTACTCATGACTAAGTGTTCTCACAGTTGAGAGGGGAAATCTAGCACTACGAACATAACCTGAAGTCATAACAGTGTTGGTTAGGAAACAGTGTTGTTGATTGACGGAAAAAATTGCCAAGTAATACAAGGAACGTGCGATAGCTAGAGTGTTTTAATCGTTGGTTAGCCATATATAGGGCTAACATTATTTCCTATATTCTTTTGTTCTTATATTGCTTTTGAAGGCCGCATTGAGTGCTATCAAAGGGCGCAGATTTCCCCCACTCTTGTGTGTAACAGAACGGTGATGAGGTGGGGTCGGGGTATGTCCCCCATGCACTCCTTGAAGGGGCATTGAGATCAGCTCCCATGGCTACCCCCTTCATGGACCTGATAAAGAACGTGAACAGAAAACGCGCCAAAAACTCGCGTTTAGAAAGTGGGGCATTCTGGGGGTTCCCAACACTTAAATGGTACAACGTTTTGGCCTCCAACACAAGACGATATCCATCGCCAAAATGGTAGGAACATGGAGCTCTGCTTCCCCATAATCAAAACCACGAGGCCACTGAACTAACTCATGTATGAATCAGAAAGATTCAAATGACAGAATGCAGACTTCAATACAAGAATTGCTACAGTTTTCTTCCCATAACTCTAACAAAGTATTCCGGGCACCACCGGGTACCCTATGTAGTATATTCACGTCTAGGACAAAATCGGTTCTGAATCTATACACGAGCGGACATAATGTATTTTCTAATCCTATATACATAGTGAGAGTGAACATTGACTTTCGCTCAAGATGATGTAATCAGTAATCTAGACACATATAAAGATACACTCTGAATTCTTGTATTATTTTATATTTAATTCTGTTCCTTAAAAATTAACAATATGTTGCTTTCTGTATTTTTCAGTTCAGTTTTATTTAGAAGTGTTGTATTCTGTACTACTGAGCTGTGCTTTCATCTCAGCATCCACTGCTCCATCTCAGCATCCACTGACCCATCTCAGCATCCACTGACCCATCTCAGCATCCACTGACCCATCTCAGCATCCACTGACCCATCTCAGCATCCACTTACCCATCATAACATCTTCGCCAAACTTGTTGGTTAGATCACACATCTTCCTGTTAGGCAGCGCCTCCTCCACAAACTTCTTCACAGCCACCCTGCTTAGTACATAACCAGAACCTGTACCAAAGAGAGAGAGAGAGAGAGAGAGAGAGAGAGAGAGAGAGAGAGAGAGAGAGAGAGAGAGAGAGAGAGAGAGAGAGAGAGAGAGAGAGAGAGAGAGAGATTTATAATATCTGTTACACATACAAATAAAGAAATACTGAAGTTTTAATTAAAAGTTTCTTTTTATTTATCCAGATTTGTAACGTTTATAGATACCAATTAAACTGATTCTGTTTGAAAACACTTCGAAATTCTGTGAAATAGGAGGTAGTAATTTATCAGAAACTTATGATACTATGTAAGCAATCATTTTGTCTCTAAAATATATACAAATTTAAAGAGGGCAACTTAAAGATTATTTATAAAAAAAAAACTTTGAAACACGAGAAAACAAAAATTTCTCACTCACCCACAGTTCCTCACACACTTACCTCCACACATGTAGAGGTGTTTTTTGTCACGCACGTATTTGGAGCCGAAGAGGATGGGGAAGTTGGGGTCGTAGGGTGAGAGCATGTAGCGCATGTTCTCCATGATGGTATACCTGAGTGGTAGACTGTTTGTGACTGGTGGTTGGTGACTGAGACTGTTGGTTGATGACTGGGACTGTTGGTTGATGACTGGGACTGTTAGTTGATGACTGGGACTGTTGGTTGATGACTGGGACTGTTAGTTGATGACTGGGACTGGTGGTTGATGACTGGGACTGTTAGTTGATGACTGAGACTGTTGGTTGATGACTGGGACTGTTGGTTGATGACTGGGACTGGTGGTTGATGACTGGGACTGTTAGTTGATGACTGGGACTGGTGGTTAATGACTGGGACTGGTGGTTGATGACTGGGACTGGTGGTTGATGACTGGGACTGGTGGTTGATGACTGGGACTGGTGGTTGATGACTGGGACTGTTGGTTGATGACTGGGACTGTTGGTTGATGACTGGGACTGGTGGTTGATGACTGGGACTGGTGGTTGATGACTGGGACTGGTGGTTGATGACTGGGACTGGTTATCTTGCAGGTTATCTTGCAATGATTTCGGGGCTTTTAGTGACCAGGCCTGGAAGCAGCCCGTGACAGCTGACTAACACCCAGGTACCTAATTTACTGGTAACAGGGGCATAGGGTGAAAGAAACTGCCCATTGTTTCTCGCCGGCGCCTGGGATCGAACCCAGGACCACAGGATCACAAGTCCCGCGTGCTGTCCGCTCGGCCGACCGGCTCCCCTGGTGGTTGATGACTGGGACTGGGGGTTGATGACTGTGACCGGTAGTTAATGACTGTCAGATATACACTTTCCCTAACCTCCCTAATTTGCATATGACAGATTGCTGACCGAGGAAATCAGAGGAATTAGCGCCAACATACAGGTAGCTAATGTATCACAGGACCTGGAAGTATCGACATTTGTCCAGAGTGTGACCATCTTGAGAGAGGCCTACAATGTAGGCTCACCAGGCCTACAATTCCAAATATAAGTGGAATTTCAACTGTCAAAGTTTCAATCACCGATAAGTTTTACGATTTACATTGTTGGCCCATTTCAGGTTCGGGCGATGCACAGTTAGTTACCAAACTGTGATACAAGTGACTGAAAGTGACACGTATGTTGATGATTGGTTGTAAGTGGCATATTGCTGACTGATAACGACATCATTTCTACAATGACCCAACGTCTAGGGTTGATTTCATTTTACTTAGATCTTCCGTGACAACTTACGTGTCGACATCCGCCTTGTAGAACCAGTCGTACTCTGACAAGTAGTTCTTGTAGACATAGGTGAAGGCTGCCCGGGTCTTGGCCCACAACTTATGCCTCCCTTCACTAACACCAATGTCGATGGCTCCAAGCTTCGTGTCTGAGGAAAAGACCTTTTATTTTACCACCAGAAAACCAAGAAGAGTACTAATGATAGGAAGCAAACTAGAGGGCAGTACTAAAGCACAAAAAGTAGACCTTAAGAACAAAAGGAAGTGAAACAGCTGCATTTGACTGCTAAATTACGTTAATTAAGTCAATTACAAGAGCAGCTGCAGGCCTTAGAAACTTTTCCGTCCTCAGGTCATTTGTCTGTGTGTTAGGACTCAATTTTAGTCTTAAAATTACATTAAAATTATTAATAGATATAACCCTGCTGACAGACTACTATCACCTCTGCTGTAAGTGATCAATAGTAGGGGATCTATTGACTTCTGTTGAAGGCTCTGAGCATTAAGAAGACCGCTGAACATTTTGGGAAAGACAACTGACCTCTCTCAGGGTTTCCACTGACCATTCTTGGAGCTGATGAAGATAAGCTTGTCACAGCGGGCACCCCAGGTGGCCTTGACGTGGACGGCCTTGGTGTAGTGAGCTGCTGGGTGTGCCAACACCAAACACAACACCCGCACCTTCTGCGTCTCCTGCAGAGCCACGATCTCCTCTGTACACACACACACACACGAAACATAATATTAAAAGGTTATCAATAATGTTTTATTCATTACAGTCAACATATTACATAAGCGTTTTGCTTTTTATAATATAAATATCTTGTTGTTAGCTTAAATATTTGGATAACTACATGT